TAGATATGCATGTTTTAAAACTTTCACAGAATACAATAAAACTGAAAAACTAAAAACTTGCAGCTTTGATATCTCGACTTTGGGGGGCTGTAAGTCAGTGAATATAAAACTAAAAATGGCAAATTTATAGTCTAAAATCATGTACAAACTCTAATCTACTTGCAGCTTTGATATCTCGATTCCGGTTTCGGTCCTGTTTTCCGGTTCTAAATCTCATCCCTATCTTGGAGGTACCAATGGTACCTCCCAATTTTACCATGACTCTATCCTCCCTAACAGAATATATTAATGTGCTTTCATTCGAATGTTTATTAAAAGTCGAAAATAACAATATCTGAGAACTGGGATGCTTCTTTCATTCTTTTGTATACGAATCAAATTTGTAGATTTAATCAACATGATGGAAGCAACCTATGTTTTGCATCCATATTTCATGACAGTGAGATTATATAAACAATAAACGATCATTCGTTTATCGTCTATGAACAAAAAAAAACTTAAAGAAGAGTGTGTATGTGTAGAGAAAGGGAGATCGGTGAACTTATTGCTAACGCTATGGAGAATGTTGGCAAAGAAGGTACTCACTCTATACTATTGTTATCCATTATATAGTATCTTATCTTCTAAAGAATGCTAAAAATATTAATTTTTAGTTTTTTTTCAACATTTTGACTATTTTTTTATAGTTTCTACCCGACAATTTAGCTGATGATGTTGAAGCCTTTTCAAGTGTTGGAATTGGTTATCGTTTGAATGTCTCTAGATGTAAATTTTAAGTAATTATTGTTTATAGTCATTATTTTACTTAGAATTTTCTTTCAGATTTTAGAGGCAAAGTAGCACAAATAATAAGTACTATTAAATGAAAAAAAAAACTTAGCAAAATTAAAACAAAAAAAATTGGTGTTGATATTGTCTATACCGTGCAAATCACAATTACAAAAATCAATATTAGCACATATATATGGTTAAGATTACAATTTTTAAACAACGTTCGTATCTTCGAAACATTTAGCATGATTAGTTTAAATTAACTATTGTACACTTATGTTATATCAAATATCCACACATACACAACGTCGATCAGATATTTCAATGTATATATTAATTTTAATTAATCATTATAATTTTACAAATAAAACATCTATCCTTGTAAATTAATAATTTTTTTGAAAATATTGATTAGTTTTTTTTGAAAGAGCGAAAACATTGATTAGTTATTAGGATTAGTTTTGCATTTATATGTATTTTTTTATATGTCCCCCGCGTTATACGCGGATCATAATCTAGTATCTAATAAATCAAATTGATTGATATATTGGTGCAAATTTACAAGATATACGATGAAATCAGCGATGATATATATTTAGTCTTTTCTAATCATATAAATACAATTTTGAAAATATTTTAATATAATACTTTATTTTAACATTTATTTACTAAAAGATATTATAAATAAATCTTCAGTCAAACATTTTTTAGTTTTTTTTTTAATTTCTTTTAACTATCTCCCATCTCATTTTTCTTTTATTTTCTATTTTTTTAACTATCTCCCATCTCTATATAGTTACAATAATTAAAAAACATAAAAATATTATATGATAACTAAGTTCTTTTCTTAATATTTGATGTTTGTATCATTTTGATTATTTTGACAAATGTGTTTTTAAATATATTTCTAAAAAATATATTTAGATTTTATATTTAATAAAAAATTATTAACTACACGAAAAATAATAAATATTAAATGTGTAAATATAATCACCATACAAAATGAATTGTTATTACATATAAGAGGTTATATATAATTAATAAATAAAAGAAATAACTTAAAAAAACATGATTTTCCAATAATAAAAAAAAAACTTTTAATGGGTTTTATAAATAATACAAAAAAAACAATGTTTACAACAACTCACCTCTGTATATGCACTTTAAAAATAATTTGAGTTGGGTCTTTCACAAATAAAAATCAAACCTTGCAAACAAAAAGAAGCCATAATAAACAACTCTTTTTGCACAAAGTACAAGTCATCTTAGTAGCTTTTGTTTTGATAAACCAAACTAAAAAGTAAAAACCCATCTTATAATTCAATAAATATGGAATTGTAGATAGAGATATGTGAATTATATTCCTTCTTTCACATATACACACAAAAACAAAAGGCATGATAAGAATCTGCTGTGCCTATGCCACTGCAAATTTGGTCCCAAATATACGTGTATTCAAACTTTTGTTTCTTTCTCTGACAAAAAGGAAAATCAAAGAGCAACAAATGGACTTATTTGTATGATTCAGTTTCCTTTCTCTTTGACTAGAAGCAAAAGATAGTAATAAAATTTCAAGAAAATTCATCCATAAATCTTGAACCATTTAGATGCTAAATATCTTGTTTGAATGTTAATGTTTGGGGTTTCTCTAACCATAAAGGGTTTAAGAAGTTCAAGAAAATTCGTTCATAAACCTTAGAATATTTAAGATGATGTCTAATTTTCATGTTTTCAATTATAAATATTCGATCTTAGTTTCCATGTTTTCATTCATAAATCTTGAATCTTTAAGATGTTGAGAGTCTAATTTTTCATGTTTTCATTCATAAATCTTGTATCTTTAAAATGATAAGCGTCTGATTTTCATGTTTTCATTCATATATATCGAATCATTAAGCTAATAAATTTTTAATTTTCGTGTTTTCATTCATAAATCTTGAATCTTAAAAAGGATGAGTGTCTAATTTTTCTATTTTTTATTTATAAATCTTGAATCTTTAAGATAATAAATGTCTAATTTTTCATGCTTTCATTCATAAATCTTGAATCTTTAAGATGATGAGTGTGGAGTTTTCTATCTTTTATTTTTAAATCCTGAATCTTTAAGATAATAATTGTCTAAGTTTTCATGTTGTAGTTAAATCTTGAATCTTTAAGATGATGAGTGTCTGATTTTTCTATTTTTTATTCAAAAATCTTGAATCTTTAAGATAATAATTGTCTAATTTTCATGTTTTAATTAAATCTTGAATCTTTAAGATGCTAGTGTCCAATTTTTCTATTTTTTATTAAAAACTCTTAATCTTTAAGATAATAATTGACTGATTCTCATGTGTTAATTCTTAAATATCAAATCATTAAGAAGATAAATGTCTAATTTTCATGTTTTCCTTCATAAATATTGAATCTTTAAGATAATAATTGACTAATTTTCATATTTCAGTCTGCTTTCTCTTTGATCATAAAGAAATAACGAAACATTAAAAAGGGTTTTCAAAAAACAAAAATTCAAGAAAATTAATTCATAAATCTTGAATCTTTGACATAGTAACCCTCTAATTCATATATTTGAGTTTGCTTTCTCATGGATCAGAAACAAAGGATAAAACAGTAAAAAGGGTTAATCTCATTCACAAAAACCAGATCTTTAAAATTATTTTACCAAGACACAACAAAAAGGTAACAAAAAGTGAATTCCCACCAAGATTTTTTTACTTTGAGCGAGTGAATAATGAAAAAGTTGACCAAGTCAAACATTGACATGAGAGGGGGAAGAGAGCACTCATCATATATCATTCCAAAATTATTTGGTGGGCCCAATTAAGTACTCCGAAATCTCTCTTTCACCTCAGAATTATTATCATATGAAATTATTGTTCGTTTTACAACTAATGTCAAACCATAAATTAAACAACCTTAAAGTAGAGAAAAGCATTTTGAATATAATGAATAGGAAGTGTCCTTTGGGACAAAGACTACCCCACTAACTCAATAGGTTCCCCATATCTTTTCTTTTCAAGTCAAATACTCCCAAACATTCATACCACTCTTTACTTTTCATCTTTTGAAGATTTTCCCTTACATTATCCTCAATCATCACATTGTTTTTTCCTAGAAATTTTTTAAATGGTTTTCTTTGATTCATCAAAATATTCACGTTATGGTTGGTATATTAAGAATCTTGAAAATCTAGTCCTTTAGAATCTTAAACTAAAACGTTTACTCTTATGTCAACTAACCGGCTGTTTTACTGTGTATCTGATTTATATCTCATATAATATTGCTTTGTTAGGGTTGCTAGATTGCTAACTTTCTTTTGCATAATTTAAGTTCAAGAAAAATAATAGTCGACAAAAATAATCAAAATCTTATCTTCAAGAAGTTATTTCATCTTGTTAATAATGTAAATACATGGCAAAAATTTTAATAAATTAAGAACCTTGATAATCTAATCGTTCTAAACTAAGATGTTTACTCTTATGTGTAAGTCGTTGTTTACCTGATTTATATCTTATATGATGCTTTTAAAACTGGACAGTATGTACCAGTTTAGGGGTTACAAGAATAATAACTTTTGTTTACCTGATTTATATCTTATACGATGCTTTTAAAACCAGACAGTATGTGCCAGTTTAGGGGTTGTAGGAATAATAACTTTTTTTTCCTTCAGACACTAAGAGTGTTAGTTCAACAAAGATAAAAGTCAAGAAACAAGAACCAAAATTCAATCTCCAATATCACAAACACTTTTCTTGATTTTGTTAATTATGTGGATACATGATATAATTTATAAATACATTAAGTATCTTGAAAGTTTAATCCTTAATTAAAAAAGAAAAAGTACAAGGCCTTAGTTCAAGAAACTATAAAGTCAAACAAACAAGAACATATACCCTTTTGTTAGCATGTTGAGAATATATAAAATATATATATTGGTATGTATGTATTTATGATCCTACCCACCTGTAACTTATTGAATTATGATATTCAACAAGTTGCATGATTCAAAGATATAACATGAAAAGTATGCATTGCATTAATAACAAATAGACAATTCTGCCCTTACACAGAAAGTACTGAATGCCCAGATTAAAATGTAGCAAATTTAAGAGAAAGCAACACAAATTTCTCAATTTAATGTGACTCCACATTTCTAAAATCAAACATATGTTTGTTCATACTTCATACTTCATAGTTGAAGCAAATGTAGAATATATGTTTTCCATCACATGGGTTTGACCAGAAACATAGTTATAAAATTAAATATCCAAAGATGAGAATTGTAAAAGATTAAAATAGTAAAATAGTAAAAATAGTAAATAGTAAATACCATACTTAAAAGATTGCAGATTAATTGGGAATTGGAAGCTTAATGATTGTTGCTAAGAACACTGATGGAAACACGGTTGACTGGAGTCAATCTCATTTGCTGTTCTTGAACTCGATTCTTCTTTAATGGAGCTTCTGGTGATGATGAAACTGATGATCCAATCATCCATGAATTGTTAGAATTATCGCTGCTAAAATACGCATCAAATACACCACTTGGACTTCCTGGAACTGATGAGTATTTTCGTTTGTGAGTTTGGGAGAAGATTGTTCCATGATTATTTGATGATATCGATACCTCCATGATGAATTTAGAACAATCATCGATGTTGTCCTGTTATTATTTATAGAAATTAGCGTATACATTCATGTGAAAAGGGTTTTGAATTAGTAAATGAAGAACAACGTCGCATACCTTGCTAATTTTGAGAAGATTCATAAGCTGATTTTGGTAATCCGATGCGTTATCAGGCTCAATCTCCTTGCTAACAATGCACATTATAGCAGCGGACATTACAGATGGAAGAAACCCTAGAAATCTTGAATCTGCATTGGTTGTTAGAATTTAGAAAGATTGACGACTTTGGTTGAGAAAAAATGGATGAATTTTCGTGAAATTGAGATTGAATTTGGGAGGTTACTACCATTGATGACTGAGAGAAGAATCCGCTCACACCTACGAAGGAACTCGTAATGTAGATTATGAGTCGTTAAATTAAGTCGACGCATGATGTAATCAAAGAACGCGAGAGGAGTTACAGGATTCATCTTCCAATCAAGAGAAGATAACACCAAAAGTTCCATCTTCATGATTGTTTTGGATTCAAACACAAATTTTGTTCCTTCCATCTGAAAAAAGAAATGAGAAATCGCCCAATTTCACATCAGTGAGACTAGATAACATCGAAAGCATTTTCACAAACACTTGGAATGCAGGTTAATTACATTAAAGGTATAAACAATGCTTACCTGCAAATCCATGAGAAGAGGGGCTTGGATCTCTTCAACTTTAGAAGCTACAGAAAGGCAAGCGACAGCAACTAACTGATTCATCCATGGCTTATCCCTTTGGAAAGAAGTGCTAATCAAGAACCTATCGAAGTAATTAACAGCCAAAATCGTCGTCAAAGCAACAAACCCGTAATGGGTACTGATTCTAATCATCCAATCGACAGATTCCTTTCGCAAAACCATTAACGACTCATCGCAGATCAAATAGGTAGTTTTCTCTTTGGATAAACGAGTAGAAAGCTCATCTTCTTCCCACAAAAGCCCCTGTTGAAAATGAGTAAAGGTTGGATCTTTTTCCTTCACGATTTCATTTTCGTGCTCTGATGAACCAAACCCACATCCAAAATCGAAATCGTTTTCTTGTTCGTCACACAAAAGGGCATCATCAATAGCAAAGATAGGGTTTTGGGGACACACATTTTGCTGTTTTGACACCATCCTCTTCTTCTTGTGAGAAGAAGATATAAGAGGCTCTATTCATTATCTTCAAGAAGACATGAAGATGAAGATGAAGAAGAAGAGTGTCTGTAACATATCTTCGTGTTTGTTGTCACAATCTCCTTCTCTCTCTCTAGACTAGTCTCTCTGCAATTTTAGAGAGAGAAACCCAAAATCAGTAAGCAAAGAGAGGGGAATTTTGATTTATCTGAAAGAGCTTTCACGCTTGTCCTCCTTTCTTTATTCTTGCTATCACACACTCATCACCCACTCTCTGTTAATTTACATATTTCATTTGATTAACGAAGGGTTTCTTTAAAGAATTTAGGGGTTGTTTGGCTCTCGAGAATTGATGTAATGGCAGCATCCAATCGTATATACCGGGTGTGTTTGATGTGTGTGTATGGTAGGATTTTATAGGTTTATTTTGCTATTCTGTCCCTATTCTCTATATGGTTTTTGCACTTTAGTCTTGTAGTTTCCTCGTTCTTCACAAAATGACCCTTTGAAACCAATTTAGTTCGGTGTTGAACCTTGTAGTAAAATTTCCTAGGAAACAAATATCGATAAAAAATAGTATGTTTGAAATTAAACCACTTCTTTTATGATGATTGCATGAATTAAATATGTGAATCACAAACAAATCTTTTTATATATTAATAGGTTTTTCTTGGAACAGGTGAGTTATATTAAAAGAAAATTTTAGTTGGGTTCGGATAATATTACTTGGGGTGAGTATGGTGCGGTTCGGTGCGGTTTTTGGCCAAAACCGAACCGAAAACCGCAACTTCGGTTTTTTGAAATTTAGAAACCGCACCGTTCGGTTTTTATGCGGTTCGGTTTTTGCGGTTTTTTGCAGTTCGGTTTTTTTTGCGGTTTTTTGTTAGTTTTTTTTTTTGTTTTCATTTTGTCTTTTTACTAAAACTCAAGTAACTCGGCGAGTTACTTTGACTCAGATGAGGAGTGCTAATCATTTTTTGGAGATGAACTGATACCACCACCTCTTAGTTTGAAATCAAATTACATAACCACTCATCCAACATGTTTCTAATGCTTGAACATAATACGAATTTAATATAATATTTGTTTCACATGTACATGCAATAATATCAATTAATATATTCATAAAAATGATACTATCATCACTAGTACTCTTCATATTTAAATGTTAAAAAATATCATAAGCATTATTTATTATTGTAAATACTATTGACTGTATGCTTAAAAATATACAATCATCATCCGATAGATAAGATAAATATTATTATATATATATTAAACTTATCCTAAAAGATGAATAGTGAACTGGTGAACAATTTGACAAAAATGGTCCCTTAAGTATATTTTTTGTAAGGGGGCATATTTTGACATTAGGTATATTCTTTGTGTATACGTGTTAGCAATCCACCGCATCTTTTATCTTTCCCCACTGTATTCAATGTGCACGTGTTGACGATCCTCCATCAGATCGACATCTTCTCGATTCTTCTCATATTTCTGCTTCGTATCCTCCTGATCAAAACGATCTGAGTCGGTGACATTCCCCACTTCTTCTGGGTCTTCACTCCGTTGTCTCTTCGTTGTCGCCATGCTTCTTCCGGCCAGACCCACCGATTCATCGATCTTCAACATCAGACGAACCCGTCCCCACCTCTAATTGCTTCGCTTTTCTCCATCCCCACCTCTAATTGCTTTGCTTTTCTGTACCGACATCGACTTAGGTGCAGAGGAAGACCGACAAACGGAGTTGTTTGGCAATGCGATGTATCACTCCGTCATCGCTTACGTGTGTTTCTTGTGCGACACAAGCAGAAGCGACAGGTACGTGAGCAAGGCGGAGGGTAGGGTGGCTCCTTGACTTAGACGACAACTGAAACACTCACACACACATATATTTGTTGCTTCGAAATCCACCACTGTCGGTTTGCAACCCACGACCATCATCACATCAGGTTTAATTTTGGGGTTAATCGGTGTTTTCATTGAATCAGTTTTGGTTAAACAATTATAACCGTTTGGCATTTTGTTGCTTTTGAAACTGGTAACTGGGATTGGCATTTTGTTGCTTTTGTTCAGGTCACACATGGGTTGCTTAGCGAAGCAGGTAAAGTTCAACACTATTACTTGGCTGTTAATTTTTTGTGTTTGTATCTCGGAAGTTCAATCCTACTTTGTTTGAGCAGTGATTAATGAAATTGTTTTGTTGTTGTATTGTTAATTGTAATGTAAGATATTAACCAAATATCTAAAGGTACAGTTGCAGAATTGAGTGAAAAGTGATAACGTTTTCATTTCAGAAAGAAAGACAGACTCATCACAGGTGACTGCTTCTGTTTTATGTTTTCGCAATCAACAATTTGGTATCATTTGTATGTTTGTTTGGGGAAAAATGTTTAAGATGTCGACTTTTTTTTCCAGAAAATTTGGCATATACTTCTTCCTTTCTTCCTCGACCGCATGAGCAATAGTTGTTGATCTACTCTGGCCATCACCCTATGCTTTTGTAAGTAAATTTTGCTTCGTAATTTTGATTAACAACTCTATTAAGTTCATCTATTACTATTGGATTTTGCTGATCGATAAGCTTATTTTTTTCATATCACTGCAACTTTAATTGTTACCTGTTTTCAAAGTTGTTGATTGTTGGTTTGCCTTTATAGAAGTCGAATACATTACATTTCATGTTGAAAGTTGGTTTTTCAGAAATATATTTGATGTTTTGTTGAGGGCTTACTTTGGAGATTTTTATTGGTTATATAGGGATAAGAGAAAAACGTTAACAAAGCAGAAAAGCTGCTAGATGAAACGATATGGGCTCTGCCAAGGTAGTTGATTGATCATGTTTCCATCATTAAACATTTTCATTGATTCCATTGCAAAATACATATTGATATATTAGTTTTCAATTTGAAATTGCTAAGATTGAATGTCTCAACCCTTTCATGTGCTGAATGTATGGAACAGTCAATTGACAATCAGAATATCAATATCTATAGGTATAAATTGAGGAAGTATTGAAGGTGGATGACGAAAGACTTTTTTTCTGTGAAAAATCCCAAGCTGGTAGTGAAGGGGTTGCAGGTAAATGTTTTCAATTTTAATCAAATGGTTAATCTCCTCTCCTCTCTAAACTCAAAAACTACAGCTTTCGGTTTCTATTCAGTGGTTTTTGAATTTGAAAATTATGATTTTTTTTTGTAGGGATTCAGCATTATCACAATTGAACGAGACAGCTGAAGGTACTCCTACTCTAGCATCATGTAGTAAGTTCAATTTTTTTTCAGTTAATTTGTTTATTTATTGCTTTATTTTTTTGATCGATATAACATCCTACTTCTATTTCCGTTTCAGTAATGTCCATTGGTGAAGACGAACTCCATGTTAGTCTCTCTATTATTATTGTTTTTTCTACTTAATGTAGGTAGAACAACGCTATACTTTTAAATGAGTTTTTCCTGTTTTCATGTTTATAAACGCTTTAATGAAATCTTTAATAGTCTCTTTATGTATATATGTATATGCATGTTTGTGGCTTTTTTCCTTATGAAATTACTGTTATCGTTTTGTTATCCTGTTTTCATTTGTAGATATAAATAATAATTTTGTTATAGATGTTAGAAATTCTTAATTTTGTTTATTTTTAGACCAAAAAATGGAGAAACAATCTGAAGAATTGAGGGGCATATCAGGTAGATATGAACATGACAGGAAAGTTTGGGTGGCTGCAATCTAGGAAGTAGGTATTGAAACCAGACCACTCTCAGCTCTCTCTTCAAGCACACCACTGTGCTAACTCAGTTCCTTCCTGATCTCAATAACATGGTTTCTGCAGTTCAAGCAAATGATTAAATTTTCACCCTATTGTAAGTTTTAACATTTTCTATCATTACTTTTACTTGCACAGTGTGAGCATCTTAAAGTCAAATACAACAAAGAACAAATCAGGGGAAGAAAGCTTCATAATCAATTTCAGGATATAAAAGGTGTGCAAACTTTTTCTTTTTCTTTTTTTTAACAAACATATAAAGTTTCTAACTTTCTATAAATACTAATTTTTTTTTGTAGTTTCAGGAAACATGGTCAACCATGTTTAGTCAATAATCTAATATGGTAGAATGTTGAATGCCGAGTTATTTGTTGTGTGTATGTATCATGTATGCAAATAGGTAAATTTATGATTTCATATCATCAAAATATATTGATTATGAAGAATCTAGGTTTATAACTTCATCATACATACTTTTTTTTGACCAAACTGCCCCTGCACACTGTTTTTAAACTTAAAAAAAATGGTTTCAACAATTTTGGACCAAACTGCCCCTGCATACTATTTTTATAGTTAAAAAAATTTGATTTTAACATTTTTGGACGAAAATGCCCCTGCATAATATTTTTATACTTAAAAATTTTGAATTTAACAATTTTAGATGAAACTGCTCTTGCATACTGTTTTTATAATTAATGTTTTTTGATTTTAACAGTTTTTGACAAAAGTATCCCTAATGTTTCAAATTTATCGTATAAAATGATCAGCGGGTATGGTTTATTGCCTTTGTGTCTGCAGCCCCACCACACGATGATGAAGCAACGAAGATAGTTAAAAAGGTTTATGCCAAACTTGAAGGTTTTTTTTACCTCAAAGAAGAGCGAAAGGTAATTTTCCTATCTTAATAAAGGTATCTTGATTTCAATATAAAAAAGGAAATATAACTTCCTTTGTAGATTTGTAATTGTAACAGGTGCTGGAAATTGGATATGCATGAACCTGAAACAACTTTCTGGCAAGATTTGGAATCTGAAATGACAGAGTCCTGATAAGAAATTTTGCAGTAAGTTTTATTTCTGTTTCCTGCTTTCAAAGGGTTTTCTTTATTGGGTTGTAAATTACCTTTCGTTTATATATTTCAGTGATAAAAATTGGGTTTTGGGGCCTCTGGATGGGGGAGACTCCGGTGGCCCACCTGGGTCTGAGGCGGCTGGAGTGGATGGTTTGGTGTTGGAGGATTGGAGTTTTTGTAGTTTATGCCCTATTTATACACTCTTTAGGCTTTTCCTTTGCTTATTCAGTTTCATTTTTGACATTTTTAAACAGGATTAGACCTTCTGGAACAGATGTGCGCACCAACTCAAGCGTACGTTGACCTGTGAATTTGGGAGGTTCATTTAGTGCCTTCAAATTCAAATCCTACCAAGTTGATTCTATAGAGGAACTAAATTGTAAATTTTATATGGATTATATAAAATTTTGAATTTTAGCTTGGGTCCTTTTAGCTTTGGTCTGTATGTGATTTTAAAGATGGCTTGGCTGATTCGGTTATCAAAACACAAAAACTATGGTCAAAACCAAACCCCGCGGAGTGTAGACAATAGCAACATACTTTACTGGTCTTAACCGAACCCCGCGGAGCGGGGTTTCCCAGCTAGTTTATATTTATAGAAATTTTAATTGTCATAAGTTCTTGGTTCTTACAAATATCAACACTTAATATATATATATTATATATATATATATATATATATATATATATATATATATATATATATGCGGTGCGGTTCGGTTTTTTGCGGTTTTTGCGAGACTAGAAACCACACCGCACCGAGTATTTTCGGTTTTTGCATAACTAAAAACCGCACCATTGGTTTTCATTTCGGTTTCGGTTTATGCGGTTTTTTCGGTTTTTTTGGTTTGCGGTTCGGTTTTTGCTCACCCCTAAATATTACAAGACATGATAAGCTATAAGACCATGCAGAATAGTAGTTTAACACCATCCATAAGGATGATTCGACACTCTCTTCACGCGTGGATACCATTTCTGGGCAAACTTAGGTGTATGGTGGTGTCTCTCTCTCTCTCTCTCTCTCTCTCTCTCTCTCTCTCTCCACACGTAAATACCACCCCAAGTGTTGGTGGAATGGTGTTGTGATGAGGTAGCAACCTATTTTTACACCTTAACATGTTGAGCACTCCGGATGGCCTAATGGGATTACAGCACCATTCTAACAAAAATATACGGTTACTCTTTTCAACCAATTGTTTACCCAAAGTAAGGATAGAATTTGAACTTCATTTGCTAGGTTCGAGTGGGACTTAATCTCACTTAACTGTTGGGGTGCAAACAAGTCAAGTTCGAGCTCAACTTGATTAGATTTATATGGCTCGCGCTTGAGTTCAACTCATTTCGAGCCTAATTTTCAAAGCTCAAAATCTGATCATTGAGGATTTAACATGACCGGGTTTGGTTTGGACTCGACTCGTTTGTCAAGTCGCCCTAAATGATCCTAAGCTCAGCTCGTGATCAACTAGTTAAAAAGTTCGTTTGATATTTTATTTACAACTTTGTATATGAAAGTATTTGATATTTAATATTTATTAATAATATACTATATAAAATAAAAAAATTATATTATATAAAAATAAAAATAGTCATTTAGGCTCGCTATCCTAATTGATTTCGGTAGGTGAAGCTCGTGCTTGAGCTCATTTAATAAATGAACCTGAAAATAAGTCTAAGTTTGGCTTAGGATCGTTTTACTCAAGATCGAGTCAAGCTTTTAACGATTCGATGCCGACTAGCGCGGCTTGTTTACATCAGTACTTGAGTAGATTGTATGGTTCCTTTAGCACCAAAATA